AAAATTAAAAGTATACAACAAGTGATAGTGCCATGCATTCTGCATATCAAGGGCCAATACACATTTATACACCGGCTACGTAAATCTGCTAAGTTACAAAACATGAATCGACAGTTGTCGGATTGTACATCAGTGACAAAATGTGTCTAGGCCCTCATTCTTGACTACAACTACTGTCGCCAGAGCCGCTCTCCGACGCGAATGCGTTGGAGCTTCCTGCTTGTTTTTTTTTAAAATGAAAAATTCCTCAACGTCATTTCTAGAAAACTTTCCAGACTTCTCTTCTCCGTGTGAAGAATATATCTATAAGGATATCAAGCGCCAGTTTTGGTTCGTTCTTCTTTGGTATAAATTAATTGAAACAAAAAATAACTTCCTTGATTAAATTATTTGATAGGTAATTTGTTGAGAATATAACTTGCAGTACGCCTCCTCCAAGAATTTCACTCTCATTATTCATATGTAGAATAACTTTGAGAACAGTTACGGGAGAAACATTTTTTTTAATACAATTTTACGCTAAAAATCACACTAAAAAGGCCAAAATTTTCACGAGGATCTCACCATAAATGATTTTTTTAGGTTGCTGTGCACGGAGTCCTTCAAACCGCCTGAAATCCTCAAGCAACAACTGGGGAATGACACCCACCCAGGAGCGCAAATTCCATTTTATAATCGAATGGCAAAGATAAAATTCGGGACTAATGCTCACACTCTGGACATGTACATCCGAAATATGACGGATATTTTCCCCGCACGATCGTACAATTGGGCGGTGAGTATAAGTAAGAAAGGAGTGAGTTAGGAAAAATGAAATAATGTTCTGCGTAATGCAACAGGGAAACACGATCGCTTTAAAAGCTTTGGAAAGCTTTGAGGTCGGAACTTTCAAAAGTAGAGGGGGCGTATTCGTAGAGGGACACGGAGAAATTTTTTGAGAACTAAATAAAATGGGCAAGAGTCATTTTCTATTCACCAAAAATGTTTGGCTAATTGTAAGTTCAGCCTTGTCTCGTAAACCTCTTTGCCATTTCGGAATGGAGCATTTCCCGAAGAGCTACTCATTTTCATCCATTCATCAGGTGTATTAAATGATATTTCGACTGCAACTCAGGAAAATTTATTTACTCCTACTGTGCTTAAAAAAAAGCCACTTTATGAACTTTCGGATGTTGCCAAATTGCTTCCTAAAATAAACATATTTTTGACGCAAGATCAAGAATAATCCTCCTCGAAATTGCCAGATACTTTGAATCAAATTGCGAATAAATTCCTCTGAAAAATTGGAAGAAAAATATTTACTAGAATCCCTCAAAACTTGAAGACTTGTGCGGCATTCTTCGTCAGAATGGCAGGATAATTTTTAGATTATCATCATCATTAAGCAGAGACATTATACATACGTCAGAGCATACATTAGTACATTGCAATATTCCCTATAGGGTGGAAATGGGCTTGTTACAAACTTCAGCTAGGATGCTGCACAATATTCCACATGGCTGACGCTAGTGATGATAAGTAGAAATGATAATGATATGTGATATGAACTAAAAAAATGTGATATTTTTAACTGATGATGTGATAAAAATAAGACCATTTTACTATGATTTAGAGGGACAACCACGACAACCCGAGGATGACCTCGCAATTCTACGAAGAGAGTAAAGACTCGTGGAACATGTTGCTTCTTCTCCTGCCAGGAGTACCTACTATTTATTATGGCGATGAGCTGGCAATGCTGGACTCGAATGTACGTCAGGATCAGGAGCAAGATCCCCAGAAGAGGGGTAGCTTCCGAGATAAGCCGCGGGATGGGTGCAGGGCTCCCATGCTCTGGGATGACAGCAAAAATGCAGGTAAAACTCACTTCAACGTTGAATCAAAGAGTTTGGAAAACATTCAAATGTGAAAAATTGGGTTACACACACAGGAGACATAAGACATGTAAGAGGGAGAAATTTCCAACGCAAAAAATGTCTTTCGAAGTCGATGTGCCCTTATCTGCGGTAATGAGGAAAAACGCCGTATGAATGTTCGGATTTGAAAAATTTCTAACGGTAAGTATTTATTATTGAGAAATGTTTTGGGTATAATTCCTGGAATTTTTTAGATGCGTCGAATTGAAGCTGAAGGGCGAATGCATTTTTTTGAAAAAATTAAGATAAAAAAGTGTCATACATTTCTTAGAAAATTCATATTTTATTATCAGCGATTAGGCAACGCCCAAAAGTTCATGCAGTGTTCTTCTCTGCCACGGCATTACTGTTTGAAGCGTGGCTCTCATCAGCAGGCAAAAAGTAAACCAATTTTACTTGCAAAGTTGCGATGTTTTTGACCTCACTGACTTTAAGGAGCAGAGATTTTGGGGGAAAATCCATTGCTGTTGTTTACACGGTTTCTTTTCGACAAAAATTTAAGTTTGATACCTAAGTTTATGATATTTTCACTAAATTAGGCAGTTGTTAGTAACTTGGCTTTATATTTTCCGGCTAAGCGACCAGAAATTATGTAATAAACTGACCGGTTCATCAATAAATTGGACGTTTTTCTATCAAACGGAACTAAGCGCCAATTTGAGTTCCTTTTGAGGAATTTAGAATCCCGGATAGCGCGTTCTGTCAAACGGACCTAAGCGCCATGGAAAAGCATTGCGAGTATAGGACGAAATAAGCCGGACGCCCGATTCCGCCGCCAATCCAAGCCCCCCTCTACCTTCCTCACCCTATGGCGCTTGGGTCCGTTTGATAGAAATACGTCCAATTAAGAGACTTGACATGCGACCATTATCCAATGAACCGTGGAATATACACTTTTTCATGGACATCAGGGGTCATCAGTGACTCAGTATGTTAGGTTTTAGTATGAATCTGGTAAAACATAGATAAATTTTCCAGGATTCACAACCGCCAAGAAACCTTGGCTGCCGGTCCACCCGAACTACTATCATACGAACGTGGAGGCCCAGAGGCGGGATCCTGATAGCCACCTCAACATTTTCAAACGCCTCGTTGATCTGAGAGGAACGCCCGTCTATTTACACGGCGACTTACAAACTTTTGTACCCAAGGAGTGGGTTTACATGTTCACCAGGTGAGTTTCAAGCGGTGTGCCTTTAAAACCCGTCAAGTGCGTAAAAAAAATGAGGTGCTAACGGGGGTCATTCTAGTCAAAGCTTAGTTTGAGGGGAGGAGGGCAAAAGTAAAGTATGGGAGTTAAAACTTACGAAATCCTGATAAATGCTCTGAAAGATTGATCAAAATATGCCAATTCGACCCCAAACAAGATCAACTTTGCAATGCGGGAGAGAGGGAATATAATAATTGGACTGCATTTTGCAATTTGGAACTGTAAGTTCTGGCCCGGTTTAAAAACAACGTATGCGCCATTAGTCTTCCTATGCACATAAGAGTTTTTTCAGATGAGCCAGAATTTATAGTTCCAAATTGGAAAATGCAGTCCAATTGTCCTCTTCATCCCTATAATGGCGTTTCTTGGGATGCTCAGAAAAAATAAAATAGGGGCATGAAGTAGATTCTCCTTCCTCCCGAATTAAGAAAGGGGGTGATTCAGAGACTTTCCCTAAAACATTTTGAAAAAATAAGTACCTCCGTGACTTCAATCACAGTTGCAAATTTGAAATAAGCAGCGTTGATAAACAAATAATTTATATTTTTTACTTTTTTAGATCAACCAAGGCGGAAACGATTGCAGTGCTAATGAATTTGGGGTCGGAAACGGAGGAGATCTGCGCTCGGCATTCTGCCACGCATTTACCGGAAACTATGTTCGTCCATACAAGCAGTGTCAATTCTCGCCTCAAAATTGGGTAAGCACATCCGTTATATAGTTTTTTCCCGAGAAAGTCTCATCTCATAATATGGAACACACTGGTTTTCGAAAGAATAAGGGCGGGAATATTTTCATTTCACTAATTTTGAAATCGCATGACAGCAAAAACTGCGTTAAAATGATTGACTTTGTGGAGAACTGATCTCCTTTTTATCGGTGATTTAGCGTGTTCTAGAGATGGACTGTTGGGCCCAATACGACTCAAATGATTCTCTCAACCATTCAGATTTAATATTCATAAATAAATAATTATTAATAAATATAAATTGAAAAAAGGAGGAGCTCTACCATGACAGATTCCTGTGGAAAGTAGGCGTCACAGAGCGCCCTAGCGCGCCGTAAAGGCGGCTTATACATACACACATAAATTGAAAATATCCTATTATTATTGTTCAAAAATACAAATTGCGAAAATCACACATTTTGGCCCTCCTGGTATTGGGTCACAATGGACCACCAGACAAGGTACGAATTTAAGTAATCTGATACATGTTTCTTAACCAGAATTTCACGTAGAACATAATTCACACAACGAAAATTACTGAAACCAACTCCTAACGAAGATATTAACGTTTTTATTTCACATTGGTTACGAGGATTTTGAACTGCCCGCTCACAAGAAACTCAAAGCTCTACGCGAGTCAAATCGCGCACTATAGCGGTTTCAGGAAGCTTCTCAACCGAGCAATGTTCATTTTCCGCCATGTATTTTTCAAACTTTAAGCAATTTGCTATAGCTGAGTCAAAGCGTCAGGACTGAGGTTGCCAGATTTTTAAATCGCAGAGACTGTCATGATAACGTTTAGCGCGCGATGTGAATCACGTAGAGCATTGAATTTTCATGAGCAGGTGGTTTGAATTCACGCATCAAGAATCATTAAATATCGTCGTAAGGAGTTAATTTCGGTAATTTTCGCTGTGCGCATCGTGTTCTACGTGAAATTTCGGCTACGAAACATGTATCAGAATGCTGAAATTCGTACCTTGTCTAGTGGTCCATTATGTCGGGTATACCTCTTTTCAGATAACAACAGTTTGTCCTCGGAGGGGATGCGAAATGATGAGCTTTCACGCATGCAATAAGACTGATCGTGAAAGCCTAATTTGTACCAAAACCTCCAAATATCAAATAGAACTGGATACGCTCGTACCTAGTATCGCATTAGCTGATGATTATGCATTTCTTTTTTTTTTTAATTTTTCAGGGACAAAGTTAAAACAACCGACGTTGATGAAACAAAATGCATCTCCATGAGACCGCAATCCGGGCTAGTTCTGAGCACAACTTCTAGTGACGGCGTTAAAATATCGTGTTCAGCCATTGTTCTCATCTTAGTTGCCTCCTTCAAAGTCATTTTATAGGTCTGAATTTAATTCTTAAGTAAATAAACTTTAAGTGCTAAAATGATTTCAATTGCAGTATTTTGCATTGACCTGATAAGAATAGGTAATAAATTCCGTCCGGACAGCCGTTCCAGTTGGCACATTTCGTCACTCCTCTGACGTAAGGGCCTATCTATATTTCCTCATGAGACTTGGAAAGCGCAGAGTTGTACGGAGAACAGGGCTCATGTAAAAATTGAGGTACGCCCTTACGATAGAGGAGCGACGATTCGTAAGAGCCTCTTCAAGAAAATCCCTTAACACGTTCGGACTGAGTGATTTCAACCGCCCGGTTATACATCTTTCTCATCTAATAATTAAGGATTTCAGCCTAGATAGGATGCAACACTTGAATCTATGAAATATTGACATTATAAGTGTAGATATTACTGTCAATAATATGCTGGGCTTTTTTTCCTCCCTCCCTCTCCCCCCAACCTTCCCTCTTTTATTGGGCTTCCATCAATATTAAAATATTTCGTACGCTACAATTCCCCGGTAAAAATTGGCGATAAGAGCTGCGTTTCAAAATACCATAGGAATTCTTATAGCCGGCTAAAGAAGGCTACAGAAACTCATATAGGTGGCTGTAGAATGCGGAGAAAATCGTACGGCCGGGCTATACGAAGCGATAAAAAATTATGCAGCCGGGCTATAGTTCCTATAGCCGGGCTTTACACTTTATCGCCTGGCTGTTGCTTTTTCGACATCGATTATAAAAGGCCGTAAGAAATTGTGTAGAAATTCGTGTGCTTTTGAAATCATTAAGTTCGATACGGAACCACCTTAATATTTACAAAACACACATTATATTTTCCTTTAATACATATTTTTTTTCATCAATTAAAATGAGAATAATCCATGCAGGATGTGCAAACATTTCAAAATCATTAGTTGAATAACGCTGACTCCGCCAGATTAAATATTAGAGCCAAACACAAAGCGGAGCGGCGACGCACTGGCGCCTACAAACCTAACAGGGATACTTCACGCATTGCGCATTGCGTGAAGTATCCCTGTTAGGTTTGTAGGCGCCAATCCGTGTTTCGCGCTCTCTGCCCGCCCGCCACGGCGCTTGAAGCAACTATTTCACACCAGAGGTATTGCACAGTATCATACGAAACTGAAGGCGCTCTAACATATTAGTAATGGCAGGCATCCATCAAAAGTGCGGAGCTTTCCTCGCAAAATAAATCAAGATACTACGGCCCACAAGAGAGCGGTTGTCCAAAAACTCACTAAGTCCTAGCATCCGTAATAAGTAACGTTTAGCATACACTTTATCGCCTGGCTGTTGCTTCATCGCCATCGGCCATAAAAGGCTATAAGAAATTGTGTAGCCGGCTATAGAAGCTATTGGAAATCTTACAGCCGGCTGTAGGTCTATGGTATTTTGGAACACAGATTCTACTGCCAATTTTTACCAAGGTTTTTCGATCACCCTGTCTGCTGGGCATTCATTTTTGTACACGGTTTCTCTCAGCATGAATACGGCCATTTCAGTTTTGAGATAGTTTGTATCTATAGAACTAGAAAGAGTTTGCCCGAAAGGTATGGATTCGAGCGACATAATTCGATCGGAAAATCAAAATATGAATCGATCGACGTGAACCGATCGACATTGATTCGATCGAAAAATTATGAATAAATTTGCGTCGCTTCGATCGACATGAATTGATCGTGAGGTAAAAACGTGAACGGATTGACGTACTTGATTCGTGAATGATTCGATCGACAAATCCGAGAATCGATTGACAAACTCGTGAATCGGTCGACAAACCCGTGAATCGATCGAATTTTTCCAATTATTGAACCATGTCGATTGGTTTAAGCTGTTTTTCGATCGATTCATGTCGATCGAATCCATATCCTCCGAGATGTCTCAGATACGTTCGATTCGAAAACATCCAAAAACCGTCACTTTATGATGCTGGCTCAAGAATTTTAACCTAGAGGCCTCAGTCAAAACGCATACGTTCGAGTGGCGCACAATACACATCCCTGATTTTTTGGCCCAACTTTTGTCTTGAAATATCCTCCTAGCCTAAAGCTATCGAACACTTTACGTAACACGCTCACGCACTAGCCGTGAGATGCGTAACTCCTTTTATCGGTTTTTATCGGTATTGATACCACCTAAACGGTTCACATTATGCCGCTAATCGAAGGTGACGGCGCCGATTGATTGCATTGTGTGAACTTTTCTGTCCGTCAAGGATGGGAGGTGCTTTGTGCTTTTTGTTCTTCCCGCTACTGAACACTTTAAGCTGAGCAAACAAAAACTTCAGATCGATCTCCTTTTCATCCACGATCTTTGATACTCGTATTGGCTGTCAAAGTTGTACTTGTGCGCTGAAGATGGGACTAAAGGAGCACTATTGATGACAGCAGCAGGATCCAAGAAACAATTTGTTCCAGAGAGACCGCCAAATTTTGGAACCATATATCTCCATTGCGACGTGTCAAAATCTCCGCTTCTTGTTTTATTTTTGAAGGAAAAGAAGGCAAACTTATAGCTTGAAATTTATGAAGAATATTCTGCCGGCTGAGAGAAAAAGCCACGGAAGTTCGTCACAAAATTACGTTGACATGTTCTGCAAAGAAAAATTGAAGTATGACAGGAAGTCTGCAACGTCGCTTACGGAAATACGCGGTTTACGGAAAAATGGAATTGCTGACTCTACAATTTTTAGTTAAAAATGTGTCCGACGTGTTTCAATATAGATTTTACACAAAAAAAATGCTAATTTAACCACCCCGATTGTTAAATTAGCTTTTCACAATTGTAAAATGTACATTTGAAACATGTCGGACATATTTTTTAAAAATGTAATTGTTAAATCAGCAATCAATTTTTTTTTCGTGTTTATTCGCACTTCGGTCATCAAAATGTAGATCACCAATCTATATAATAGTGATATAAAAGACTCTTTGCCTTAGACGAAAGGGCATACCTGCATTTCAACGTTGTAAAATTTTCTTACGCATAAATTGTATTTTAACTAGAGCACTGTGTGGTATTTCTAACTGTCAATGAAATATTAACTGGTTATTATTTGACTACACCAAACACTGCACCAACATAATGACTTCAAGTTTTCGCGGAATATTCATCATAAAGAGAGGAAAAATCACTAAAATTTTCCTAAAATGACGCTCGGTAGTTTTCTAGGTAGCAAAGAAAGTATGGCAGGAAGTCTACAAAGCTGCAAAACAAGATACACATTTCTGTGGTTTCATCATCGATATTTTTATTCCTTCGAATGTGTAGAATAAGCTTTTAAAACAAACCAGCATACTTATTTTCCATAATTTACTATGCTTTTCCTTACAAAGGCAGTGCGGTCTCATTCCCGTATTTTCTGACGATCGGGAGGAGGGGTATTTGCCCCTCATCTCCCACTCCTGATACCGGAAATGCAAACTTATTTCCTTCCGGAAACAAGAGCACGACCGAAGCTTGGAATCTCTCGAGCTTAGCTTTGTCCAGCCGACCACTGGCCAGACAAATCGATTGTCGGACACGCATCTAAAGTATCTGAGTCAGGGCGTAGCTAATCTATCCGGAGCGGAGGGGCGGGGGGAGATTAACTAGGTCGGTCTGTCATCCGATGCATAATTTCATCTCTTCTTCCCATTGTTGCCTCGGTGATGAGGAAATCTTCTGGCCTCTTCTTCGGAATTTTTCAGCTCTGACCGTGAAAGGTCATTTTAAAGAGACGCATGGGATACAATTCAAAGAATTGAGTTCGATTTTTTTGGCACTCATGACACAGAAAACATGTTTGTCACAAAGACGTGTACATGTAAAGAACTAAATACCTCTGCGAATAAAATGAACGGAGAAAATCGAGGAAAAATGTTCAGAAGTTTTTCAGAGGCTCTGTATTTAATTTGAGCACATTTAGCAACGTACGATTGTCCATGTGGAGTTCTTCCCTCCCCCAGCAGTATTAACTACAAAACTGGACGCAGCCCAGCGCACATTGACGGTGAAAGAGCAAAAACGCGCATCTTGGTTTGTAGCCCTGCATACATCCTGCAATGAATTGCAATCCAGGTACACTCATGTTCCCGAAAATTTTCCTGATATTTCTTTTTTGTGCGCATATTCTGTTAAAATTTCCAGCAAAAGTTCTTTTGATAAAATAAAAGGGAGCCGAGATTTTGAATCACCGCAAACGAGCTACGCGTTTTTGCCGTTTCACCGTCGAAAACGATGGCCAAAGTGCGAAGCCACGTACCTCCATTACGGTGTTTCGAAATTTCAACTTCTCTATTTATTTCTTTAAGGAGAAAAAAGCCAATGTTATAGCTTTAAATTTCTACGGCGAATTATGTTTACGCAGGGGAAAAATCAAGGAAATTTTCAAAGAATTACGTTGACTACTTTCCCGAAGAAAAAATGAAGTATGGCAAGACTGCCGCTCTAAGGAAGAATGCCGTATGAGCCCTCAGACGTTGCCATATTACCTTCCATTAAAACCAAATTCACTAGGATAATTGTGAATATTTTTCGTCAAACTTTTTCAACATTTTTGCACGCAATTTAATCTAAGAAAAAGTATGCAGAACTCTCCTTAAAAATACATGTATTATCCGATGAAATACGGCAACTCTCGAATGTTCATACGGCTTTTTTCCTCACACTGGAAAAAAACACATTGAATCTAGAGTCCAGACTCTTAAAAACATCGACAAGAAAAAATACTCTTGATTCAATCGGATTTTTGCTTAAATCAAGAACCAAGCCTCTTAATTTGAGAGGATTTCCTTTTGATTTTAGCCAAAATCTGATTGTATCAAGAGTATTTTTTCTTGTCAATGTNCTTTGGAAGTTACAAGGGAAAACATGAGCGCGGTTTGCTTAAAATCGAGCGCTTTCACAGGCCAATTGACGGTTGAGGTTGAATGCAACGGGCTACGGGCTGCGTTGCTGGCCGCCGCGCCGCGCCGCCGCCGCCTCTGCGTTGCTTATCAGCTTGCTGCAGTGCCTATCTGATATCTAGGATACTAATTGCTATC